AAACACACAACCACAAACACACAACCACAAACACACAACCACAAACATGCAACCGCAAACACACAACCACAAACACCACACCACAAACACGACACGACAAGCGCACAACCACAAACACACCGCCACAAACACACAACCGCAAACACACAACCACAAACACACAACCACAAGCGCAACCACAAACGCAACCACAAACACGCCGCCACAAACACGCAACCACAAACACAACTACAAACACACAACCACAAACACACAACCGCACCCACAAACATAACCGCAAACACAACTACAAACACACAACCGCACCCACAAACATAACCACAAACACATGCAACCACAAACACGCAACCACAAACACATCCACAAACGCAATCACAAACGCACAACCACAACCACACAACCACAAACACACAACCACGACCACAACCGCAAACACACAGCCACAAACACAACCACAAGCACACAACCACAAACACGCAACCACAAACACAACCACAGACGCAACCACAAACACGCAACCACAAACACAACCACAAACACACAACGACAAACACAACCGCACACACACAAACACAAACACATCCACAAACACGCAATCACAAAGACAGAACCACAACCACAACCACAACTACAAACACACAATCACAACCACTACCAGTACCACAACCACAATCACAAACACAGCCACAAACACAACCACAAATACAATCACAATCACACAGCCACAAACACAAACGCAAACACATCCACAAACACACAATCACAAACACAACCACAACCACAACACAGCACACAACCCGAAGACCCACAAGCAAAATTGAGAACTACAATACTGACGACCATGGCAACATGCTCCTCACTATGGCATCAAGACAAATGATTGAAATGTCATGGTGGGGATCACTCGAAGTAAAGTATTTTTTTAGGTTGATGCTTGGCGCTTCTCACTGTTTGCCTCTCATTTGTGACAACAAGACCAAGTCTTCCATGATCCTGGCAAGAGTGTGACTCTTTGGTGGTAAAATATTTTGTTATACCAGTATATGTGTTGCTGTCAACTTCTTAAATTTCAATGGTTTTCAATGTTGGTGGTAACTTTTGTAGTTGTATTCCCATAGCCTCCAGCTGCTTGGGAATGGCGTGTAGACAAAACATGATTGAAAAAAATAGTTTCCTGGGTCACATGTGCAAAGACGAAGGGATATATGTCATGAGAGAGCAAATTTGAAGCGCTGCAACACTGTTGCATTCATGGCAACACGAAAACATATCTGGACAAAGGGCCGTCAGGCAGAGGATAAGGCCCGGACAAGGCGGTGATAAAAGGGCCGACAACGTGGACAAGCAGGACAAGGCCTGGACAAAGCCCTCACAAGCGGAGAAGAAAGGACACTGGTTGGGGAACAAGAGGAGGAAATAGGTTAAATAGGGTTCGCCAGCGAGGAGACAGGGTTCGCAGGCTTGGTGCGAGGGCAGCAGGAGGACACCGCGAGGACAAACCCAGGACAGGTCAGAGTTTTTTCCCAACGAGAGAGAAGTAACAGCAAACCGCTCGAGAGAAACTCATAATGCCGTAAATATATCACTTGTCATGCCGAAAGACAACGTAATTAGCAACCAACACAACGGCACTGTGTGCCTTTTGGTTTCCATGACCCTTTTTAGAATAGCTGGCACTGATGGGGTGGTGAGGATATTTCCTCACATATTCATTCGATCGTCACCACCTGTCACCAACGCGACATACTCGCACCATTGGTGGGTGTGGGCCTGCAATAGTGGATATTGGAGAGCGCTTTGCCTTTCTATGCTTGCTAAGATCGCACACGGCAGTTGAAGAGACCTGACAAATTGTGGCACCTGTTCCCGTCTCATTCTCCTAGAGTCATGCAGATGACTTAGAACCTGACAGAGTCATGCTCTTCAATCAAACAATGTAAGAGGGGAAGGCACAAGGAAAGGGAAACAAGAAGGTGTAAAGGTTTCCCTCTACAAAAACAAATATACAAAAAAATAATGGGAAACCGTGTTTCAGATACACCAGGAGACCTTTGATGCAGCCCAAAATGACGCAGAACATCTTGTCAAGGACCGTCTGAAGATGAAGGCAGGGGTTGGCATATTTGTTGGTTTTCATCGCGTTTTGTTCAGGCCTTTAGAGCGGAATTGTGTTTTCCGTGATTTTTGGTGTTAGCGCATCAAATATCAATCAACCATTCACATTTGGTTTTCCAACTATAAACACTCAACAATGTATCAATGTGGAAGCAGACTGCGAAAGTAGATGGCGGAAATATGTTCAGTTCCTGCATGTTCGTGCCTCTTCTCCAGCAGAGAGCATTCTTCAGCGTACAAGACAAACTATAAATCTGTCACGTGTCGCGAGACCAGGATGGAGTGTGCTGTGTACTACGGAATTTGCATATTATGACATGTTGCCTTTTTAAAAAATCCAGTCCATAGAAAAGAACAAATTGCACGCGTGTTACTTTTTGATTCGCAATGCGTGGTTTCCCTTTTCCAGCCAAATTATATGTCAAATACATATTTGCGCGTTTGTGTTCTTTAAGGCTTTGGATTGGATACAAACGCCCAAGTTACAAGGTTTTTTCCACACTTACGCAGAGAGTGCTAAGTTGTCCATTATGCTTGGAGGCACAGTACATCAGCAAACTGGAATCTGTTTTCATGGCGATTGATGAGACCGGCGATGGTATGATCACAGAGGTACGAAGCCGATGTTTAGCACGATGATTAGTTTGGAACCTTCTGAATGACGATCATACAAATTGGAGACCTTTTTTCTGAAGATAGACGCTGAGATTGTGTTCATGCATGAGTGCTTGGCATGTTGTTTTCCCCCGTTTCGGCGGACCTATTTTCTTGCATAATGCCCAGTGGAAAGCTTTCCATGGCACGATTCTGTTCCATGGCGCGGGCAATAGCTTTAGCAGTGCCCACTTATCTTCTTTATTGTGATATTCTGATGTAGCTGCTAGTAGCTAGAAGATGTTAGAAGCTACTATTAACAAGGGCATCGCTACTAGTAACACTATAGCATTTATGAAAGATAGTTGCCCCCGGTGTCCACTTCACTGCAGGAACGCCTCAATCAGATTTTGGCACGGCCGGAAGTTGCAGCGTACTTTCAGACCTTGGAAATCGATGTCCATGAAGGCACCTTGATGAGAATTGCAGCATCCTTCAAGAACGGACAAATGTATACTTATGTACCCTAAATACAGGAATTTCAGAAACAGTGCGACAGTGCTGCCGCCATGCGCCGCCCCTCCTTTTCGGAAGTGGGAGTTGGATTATATAAAAAGGAGAAAGTTTGGTGTGGTTTGGCAAGCAATTCAAGATAGATATGATCTGCATACTTTCTGGAAAGTAGGTGTTTGCCGAAGTTGACGCACTATAAGTGTCAGTTAGACGTAGCTATCAAGTGGCCCAAGAGCATGCGAGAGCCATGTCCCCGAATGACACCAAAACGCCCGCCTAGGGAGGCTCAGCGTTGGATAGACGGCAAACAGGCCACTGGGCATTCCCCCCCGGTGGTCAAGACAGCGAGTGTCCCGAGTGCCCTGCCGAATGACAACGCCACCCAGGCCACTTCCAGGCTTGAAAAGCACGAAGCAGCCGCGCCAGAAAGAAGTAAAGTAAATGGGTGGGGCCATGTGCAAACCCCATGACCGACCAAACCCAGCGCGTGTTCCGGCAACGCGCTGCGCAACAACGATGTGGGTGACACCTGGACTATGTCATGAGGTCCTCGGCTGTTGCGCAACACGTACGAAATTCAGCGCCAACAGGTCGACCTCTTCGATACTAGTAGCTTTTTGTTGCTAGTAGTAAGGCCAGGAGCTACTAGTAGCGTCCTTAATCATAGTTTGGGAAGATGATGAACAAATGCATTCCTTCTGTTCATGACTGGAGCTGCACGGTGTTCCAGCACGGAAGCTATGCGGCCACAGCAACAGAGCAGCGCAGAGTCACATTGGCCTTTTGCGGCTCACAGCACTGGGAGTTTGCGGCTCCTGTGGGACTGGCTGACCAAACTGGCCTCCCATATTTTGCCTAAGCTGGCGCCCAAGAAACACAAAATAAGACACGCAACAGCACCAAAACAAACATGGTCCCAGCGGCAGCTGCTTCCTTTGTTTTCGTATTTTTGATTGTGGGTAAGCACAACTAGCAGGGCTACCACATGTTGGCAAAGAAAGGCTGACCCACCACCGTCTCACAACTGGATCCGGAGCACTGACCCTATCCGAACTCCACACAGCCACTCACCAACTGCGACGCAAGGCGCGGCCCACAGCCTCGCAAGCGGCAAGCACTCCCGCACATCTGACCACACTGGTCACTTCAGCAATGGTGCAAACAAAGCAAAACGTCGACGCGCGCGCAACGAGGATTAATATTGCGCAAACCAAGACTTGCAAAGACGACGCTGGCCTTGCCGGCAGCATGATCTAGACCATCAACGGCCATCAACAAAGCGGCAGCACATTTTACAGTACACATTCCGCTCCAACACAATAAGCTACTAGGAACAAGTGCATCGCTTCTAGTAACAAGTGCCTTACTACCAGGAACAAGAAGCTAGTAGTAACAAGTGCATCGCTTCTAGTAACAAGTGCCTTACTAGTAGTAACAAGAAGCTAGTAGAAACAATCCACACATGGGGATGCTGCTCTCAGTGGCTTGCCCCTCTCCACAGCGGCGCCAGTGACTGGACTTCGAAACTTTAGTAATTGCCCTTCCACCTTCACTTTATTGAGTTCCAGGCCTTGGCAATAAACTCAACTTCCCGGCCACGAGACTGGACCTCTACTTGTACTCTAGTATGAGCCAATGGGGGCACATCAGAAATATGGTTGTTTAATCGTGTTAATGTTGTTTATGAGGTTGGCCTCCTGGTAACTTACTGGTTAATTTGCATCTATTCAAGCCAGGGGTCCCCATATAATAGACATTGTTAATTAGAAAGGTCACTCATTATTCCAGGCTCCAATAGCACACAGCTGCCGTGCCGGAAAGAACTCAAATAAATAGAGCGTACATTACGTCGTGGACTATTTTTCAGAGGGTCGTTTGAGCACGTGCCAACCAGTGCACCCTGAAACCCCGCGCATGTTCCCGCAAGGCACTGCACTTTTTCACCTTTTGGACAACGGAGACGGGGAAGTGACTTTGGAGGAGATTTGGGACGCCATGTTTTGCAGGTGAGCTTGACAATCTGTGAGGTAGGACTCCAGTGATTGCAAACAGTTGTTGACGTCTCCCTTAAATTCCTTAAATTTGACTTTAATAGAGCCTGTGTCTTGGCAACCTCAGCTCCCGCTGAAAACAACGAGTTGCCGTTTACGTCCTGTGTCCCTCGCTGCTCAGTGTGAAACTCAACCAACAAACGGTGTGGATGCGTTTTTCTCAAGAACCTGCCACAGTTATTTTCCTGCAGGCGTTCGTCAGTCAAAAATAACACACCAAAATATGTTGGACTTTTGCATGTGTCGTTACATATCTTGAATGGGTCATGTTCTGCATGTCCGAATTTGTTGTGTTGTTGAATATCAACGAATCCACGCCGAAACGGTGTATTCTACATCCTGGTCATGTCCAGGAATTCATCGATGGCATAATGCGATGCAAGGGCCAAGCACGCGCCATTGATCAAGTGGCACTTCATGCAGAGCCCCGCCAACCAGATCTAATGCCGTTTCCGGCTTGGGCCAGCCAAGCGTTTGTGCGACTCCACGTTAGCAGCATTTCTGATTGTATGGTGTTGAAATCATTGGCAGTATTTCTTTGTCGAAGAGTGTCCGGAGTTTTCTGCAGAATGCGGATAAACATGTAGGACATGACTATCATGACATGTTGGATGCGCAATTCGGCAAGTTCGGGACTGGCTCAATATGTTTTTGCATGCTTGTTGGCAAAGGCACCCACAGCGGTGGGATGGAATCCAGAACACACAATCTCAAAATCACTGTGGTCCCTGCCACTGCAACATTAGAATAGCTGCAGGTCGTAGGCAATCCGTCCAGTATCCTTTTGCCAGCCATACCTTTGTCCTCCTCCTTAAAGTAACGTTTCTTGGGGCTGTGTCTAGGAACACTGCCTCTTGTGGTCTTAGATGAGTTCATGAACAAATTGTCATCTCAAATGTTCAATGTGTTTTATTTCCTCAGCTGTTGAGTGGAATGCAGCTTGGCAAAGGAAATGAAGCAGCTCGATAGCAAGATCAACAAGCTCATAGAAGCCTTAAACCGAGAGTCGCTGTTGCCTTCAATGTCTTCAAGTTCTTCAAGGACCTAGGGGCATTGGAAGCTGTGGCTGTGTGATCAAGGAGATCGACTTAAAAAAGTTGAGAGTTTAGATGTACATAGCACTGTACACCCCTCCATGTTGACATGTTGTGTCTTGTCTTTTGTACTACAGCATTTTGACTTGTAAAGCAACTGAATATTTGGCTCAAGTAAAACAGGCAGCGTTGTGCTTGCGATCATTGGGTACGGTCCTGGGAGGTTGTGGGACACGTACTCAACAGGTTAACAGCCTCGTCCATATACATACATTCAGTCAGGTTTATCTTGCATACACACATCGGTTCGAGCCAAGCCTTTGTGCATTGTGAGTGAACCACACCAACACTTGTCACTGACCTTTGGTAACTGGTGGTATCGAGCTGCTCCAGCCTCTTGCCAACTCAGGTGATTTGTGCGTCGCGACTAAGTCTCGCTCAAGTTCCAGGACTTGCTGGGCGTGTTTGCATCCGAGGGTGCATCCCAATTTGTAAGACCTACCTCCATATTAATTGAGCACTTTGTAGAGCCCAAAGCAACTAATCTTTGTGTGCTCCTTAGTGTAAAGTGTAAGTAACAGCAAATAAGACATTTGAAGAACTTAGTTAGCATTTTGCTTTGATCTCCCCAACTTGCCAAGCATTTGTAGGGTGAGAACCTAAGTTCATTCGTTCGTTCGTATGGCTTTGTGGTTCGAGACTGAGCACAGCTATCCACTTGTGTTTGGGTCGATCGGGCGCGCGTGCTCGGAAGAGCGTCTGTGGTTGCACAATCGGTTCAACAAGATTCGAAAGGAGAAGAGGTCGGGCGCTAGCTTCAAGAGAAGATATCGCTCTGCCTGTCTTAAGCTCCTGTCGTATTTCATCCGTGTTTTGACAGCCCAGACAGAAGATCCGGAGTACGATCAATACGATCCACACAGTTTGTATTTGAGCCGCCGGACGATTCAAGCGCAAGAGCAGTTGGCCAAGGTTCAGGAGTATCAGTTGCCGAGGAGGGATCAGCCACTTCTTCCGAGGCTTGAGCCTGTGCCTCCGCGTGAGGACATTGGGTATCAATCGGAGGATTCGTTTGTCGCAGAGACAGCGGTCAGCGACGAGGAGCCGGAGGCGGAAGCTGAAGAGACTGCAGCTCCTATTGTCCCAAGGCATACCTTTGAGGTCAGGAGTCTTCCAGTGATTCAGCCAAAGAGTCCACCAGTCGCGCACACAATCTCGACCGAGGACAGGACCAAGGAGAAGGGCAAGTTTTCAGCGTTGACTGAGATTGCCACTGAGTCTTGCATCTTGGTGCACTTTGACGATAGTGCAGAGGTTGTTGAGGAGTGGGAGACTCTTTCAGAAGAGTACCAGAACTTGGGGATCTTTGGAATCAAGGTTCCCCGGCATTGGAGGACGCAGAGGGCTGTGACAGGTGTGAGCTGGCATCGGAACATCTTGGACGCGATCGAGGTGGCCTGCAACAGCTTCACTGTCGGAAGGGCTCCGTGATCCTGCATTGCTGCATTTTGCACCATTTGTGGCCGCTCACTTGTGAATCCCTGCAAAGCTTGTAGGTTGAGTCCGAGTGTATTTTGCCAGGTGCCGACTTACGACTTTGAACGAGGGGTGACTTTCTTTCTTCCATTCGACTCGAAGCCAAAGAGTGAAAAGTCAAGTGAAAGGGTTTGGTCACCGACGAGTGAGTGTTTGCACTGTTTGGGTGCATCCTCACTCCATTAACTTATCTAGAATAGTGTTTGGTGTTTGACCCTCTTGGATTTGCAAAGCATAATCTTTGGGCACGGCATTTTGCTAAGTAGCGTCATTCATCCAAATATCAATGCCTCAAATCAGTGACATCTCGTCATCCATGGTTCCTGGATCTGATATAGCCCTGACACGTCACTTCAGGTTTCGTCCACATCGCCGGAGGTCGTCGAGGCACCATCTAGGAGTAAGGCCCTGAGTGTTAGGAAGAATGTGAAGACTGCCAGTCGTTCGTCGAGCAGTTCCAGTCGTGCTTCCTTGCCACCATCAGGTATCCAAAAGGTTTGTTCCAGTGGGGGCGCATCTCATCGGGGACAAGGGTCATTTCCACATGATGTTTCAATGACTCGCATGGATGTACAAGTAGATGTTGACAATGTTGATCAAAGATCAGAACATGTCGAACAGACTTATCATGATCATCGCACTCAGCAGCAGTTGAATGCGTTGAGTGTTGGTGTTGATCCTGCAGTTGCACATGCCCGTGAAACCCAAGTCCGTGCAGAAGCTCTGAATGCGGTTGCCCAATATCATCAACAATCCCAAGAAGCCCAAAGGGTTGCAGAGGTCAGTGTGATGGGTGGTGAGCACAGGGTATCCCAAATTCAGTCAGAGGCTTCAGCCCATGTAGCCCAGTTGAATGCAAGACACCAGGAAGAGATTTCCAGGATTCAGCTTACTGCGAATCTAGCACATGGGGACTTGAGTTTGCAATTGCAACAGTCGGAACAATACGATAGGACCTTGTTCGAACAATTGGAATCCCAGCAACAAGAACTGACTCAACAAAAAGATAGGTTTCAGGAGAGAATCAATTGACGGTAGTTCATCACCAGTCACGGTCACCAATCCCTCCCCAAAATGGCACGGATCAAACAGAGTTGATGGAGTGCATCTCAGCTTTGAGAAGCGAGGTGAGGCAGTTGAAAGAGGATACCCGTAGGAGGTCCTTGATGCAGAGTTCACCGCAAGCTGTACATTTTCCTAACGGTCTTGTTGGACTGGCGTTTGTTGTTTTGAAATGGGTTCAAAAGATCTGTGTTGGCTTTGCGGGTGTTTGTGCAGTTTTGTATGTATTAAGTTGAGAAGGATTAAATAGTAAATGCTCTGATTCGGATCTTGCCAGCGTTCTGTGCCAAATTCGATGATTACAAGTGTAATACATAATGTGTTTTAATGTTTGTTTCTTTAAACAACAACAGCAACAACAACATCAACAACAAACACGTGGGTTTCCGCCTGTGCAGAATCCTGTGCAGTTTCCGCTAAAACGCAGATCTAGTGTATATAAATGCGCCGCGTGTTGCGTGTTTATGAAAGTTGAAACCGGCCGAAAAAAGTCTAAGGGTTTGGGTAGCCTGCGTTGGCATTGCGGGTGTTTGTGCAATTTTGTGCCTCTAAATGAAGATGATGGTTTTGGGTTTGTAAGGTTGTTTTTAGCGCCCTTGTTTTCTTCACAAATAGCATGTTCCACGCGGGGCTTTTCAATTTTGACCCCACACATTTTTTGATTTTTGCGAAGCACCCGGGTTTGAGGACATCTACATGGGAAAGATTAAAGGCCATGGCGCAACAGAAATTGCAAGATGAATTGGTGGGTATTCCACGTTGGAACGTTCAACGTTGTAGACCAAAGACTGTCTGCAAACAGCGGCAGGAACTTAAACTAGTGAGTAATTTTCCTGTTTGCAGGCAGCCAGTCTTAACTGAGATGAAAACTGTCAAATTCACATTTTTTGTTGTCAAATTTTACAAAACTGCTAGCTTTTTCACGCTGCTGCCAAAGAATATCTATTTTGGTGCGATTTAAACGTTGACAACTCAGAAATGGATCGAAAATGGCTCGGAAGTGGCTCGGGAGTGGCTCGGGCGTGGCTCGGAAGTGGCTCGGAAGTGGCTCGGAAGTGGCTCGGGTGTGGCTCGGAAGTGGCTCGGAAGTGGCTCGGGTGTGGCTCGGAGGTGGCTCGGGTTTGGTTTGCGCTTGACCGGTGCACTTTTTAATGTTTTCTTTGTTTTCTCGCAGAAAATGGTTATTTCATTGGCAAAAACTAGACTTTTTGCTGAATTACTGGCGAAAATCATCTAGAAAGTATCGTTTTCTTGTTTTTCGCGCAAACAAAAAGCAAAACTAGATTTTCTTACAAAAATAGATGGGTGCGTGTGTGACAGCGGGCTGCCAGAAAAATATAACGGCTAGTGTGTGACATTGTTTTGGCAAAGAGCTGCTGTGCGGGGGCCATGTGCCGCCTTCTCACCTTCAGTGAAAATGCAAATGTTTTGGAGATGCGCGCTTTCGGACCTACATGGCCTGGTGTTTTTGTTTCCTTTTCAAAGCCTCTCACTATGATTCTAATATGCGCTCGTTCTAGATCGTTGTTCCCGCCGTTCAAACCTGACTGGTCATAAAGACTTTTCAATACTATACTCAAAGTTAGATTTGGGCTATATAGATTCGTACCTTTCATCCCATACGTGGATCTGTCTTCAATATTTACAGATTCTCTCTCCACCTTCCTTCCTTCCCTCAGCGGATTGTGTGTGCAACATTTTGGTGGGCGGTCTGCTTGTTATCGAACCTGGTCACCCCGCCCGCAACGACCCCCCGTACGAACGAAAAAATGTTCTTCCCAGCTGCGATGGGCGTTTCGATAACCCGTGCAGCATTTGAGCTGTCTAGAACTTTTAAGGCGTGTCTTCAAAGAATTGCGTTTCACAATGGAAGCTTTTCTTTTCATTTTCCTTCCCTTCAGTGAGTTTAGCGTGCCCCATTTGGTTGGATGGTGTCCTTGCCACAAATCCCTATCTGCTTCAATATGTTCCAATGCTTACCAGCATATACGTGTAGTCTGTTAAGACGCTTAGGAAAATGCACACCGCAAGCTGTCGTGCACCAGCAATACGACATTGCCACTCCAGTCAACCCAGTCAGCCAGGGTCGGTTCCCAGCAGGGTCGCCGTTCGTTACCCCTCTCGCATCGGTTTGTGCAGTATCACCACACGTGTCGCCAAGCCAGTCTGCATGTGCGGGTTATATTCCACAAGGGTTCATGAACATGTCACTGAAGAAGCCGCAGCCGCCAGGACAGCCGGATACTCCTTCATCGTCCTCCTCATCTGAGGCCGGTGATGGAGGCAAAGGAAGGGGAGGATTCACACCACTAAGTACTCATGATCCATCATGGCCCAGTGAGCCAGGTGATGGTGGGGGAGGTGGTGGTGGTTCAACGGATAATAGTCACGGTGGTCTTAGGTCTGTAG